CCTTATTACCTTGTGTTTATAACCTATGACGTAATGCCGGCGGCGTGCGCCCGTTGGCTGCCAGCGAGCACGTGACCTCCCTGTGCGCGCGCATCCGTGACAGAGGCGGCCGATGAGGAAAGACGGTCGTGACTATATATTACTAGACGAATGAACCGGGCAACGCCCGTGTTTTACCCGATTGAATGTTTTTATTCAAATACTATTTGTTACAATTATAAACTGGAGCCGTGGATGTCACTCTTGTGAAACGTCCCGCTCCAAACTTTACATGTACATTAGGTCAGCTGGTATTACCCCTCATTTTCACCGCTAGAGGCGCGAGCGATTTACTTTTTGTAAATATACATAATTATAAAGATAGAAGCTTCTATAGAAGATAATGATCATAATGATGATGCGCGCGCATCCGTGACAGCGATGAGGAATTGAGGAAAGACGGTCGTGACTATATATTACTAGCCGAATGACCCGGGCAACGCCCGTGTTTTACCCAATTGAATGTTTTTGTTCAAATACTATTTGTTACAATTATAAATTGGAGCCGTGGATGTCACTCTTGTGAAACGTCCAGCTCCAAACTTTACATGTACATTAGGTCAGCTGGTATTACCCCTCATTTTCACCGCTAGAGGCGCGAGCGAATTGACTTTTTGTAAAAATACATAATTATAAAGATAGAAGCTTCTATAGAAGATAATGATCATAATGATGATGCGCGCGCATCCGTGACAGCGATGAGGAATTGAGGAAAGACGGTCGTGACTATATATTAATAATAAAATAATAAAATAATAATAATAATTATTATTATTATTATTATCATTAGATAATGATAATGATCATAATGATGATGCGCGCGCATCCGTGACAGCGATGAGGAATTGAGGAAAGACGGTCGTAACTATATATGTTGACTAGACGAATGACCCGGGCAACGCCCGTGTTTTACCCGATTGAATGTTTTTATTCCAATACTATTTGTTACAATTATAAATTGGAGCCGTGGATGTCACTCTTGTGAAACGTCCCGCTCCAAACTTTACATGTACATTAGGTCAGCTGGTATTACCCCTCATTTTCACCGCTAGAGGCGCGAGCGAATTGACTTTTTGTAAATATACATAATTATAAAGATAGAAGCTTCTATAGAAAATAATGATCATAATGATGATGCGCGCGCATCCGTGACATGAGGAATTGATGAAAGACAGTCGTGACTATATATATTAATAATAAAATAATAATAATAATATAATAATAATTATTATTATTATTATCATTAGATAATGATAATGATCATAATGATGATGCGCGCGCATCCGTGACATGAGGAATTGACGGTGGAAAGACGGTCGTGACTATATATGTTGATAAAATAATAATAATAATATAATAATAATTATTATTATTATTATCATTAGATAATGATAATGATCATAATGATGATGCGCGCGCATCCGTGACATGAGGAATTGAGGACAGCGATGAGGAAAGACGGTCGTGACTATATATATTGACTAGACGAATGGCCCGGGCAACGCCCGGGTTTTACCCGAGTGCGTATATATTTTAAAAATGGTTTAATTAAAATACTATTCGTTACAATTATAAATTGGCGCCGTGGTTGTCTCTCTTGTGAAACGTCCCGCCCCAAACTGTGTGTGTCTTGAAAATATAAAAATAAAAATGTGAACGGAAAAATATGTCCAGGGTAGCCTAGTGGTCATGGCATCTGCCCGGTAAGCGGAAGGTCGTGGGTTCGATTCCCATCCCTTGACACTTTTTTATTTTATCCATTCTGACCAAAATCTATCCGTGAACTTCACACAGAGAGAATAAGGCAATTATATAAGTAGATAATCCAAATTGTGCCTTATCACACACTATTTTTTTTATTTGGCCTTATTACCTTGTGTTTATAATCTATGACGTAATGCCGGCGGCGCGCGCCCGTTGGCTGCCGGCGAGCACGTGACCTCCCTGTGCGCGCGCATCCGTGACAGAACCGGCCGGCCCATGACGGTCGTGACTATATATATAATGGATGGATATAATAATAATATAATAATTATAATAATAATAATTATTATTATTATCATTAGATAATGATAATGATCATAATGATGATGCGCGCGCATCCGTGAAATGAGGAATTGAGGACAGCGATGAGGAAAGACGGTCGTGACTATATATATTGATAATAATAATAATATAATAATAATAATAATTATTATTATTATTATCATTATTTATTTATTTATCAAATCAGACGCGATATCCCTACAAGGGATGCTTGCGTCAATAACAACACTAAATTCAGATACAGTGGACCCTCGGTTTACGAGCACCTTGGAGTACGAGCTTTTCGCAGTACGAGCAAAATTTTTTGAAAAATTTTACCTCGGATTACGAGTGAAATTTCGCATTACGAGCAACTCGTGATGGTTGCCCGTAATCGTGATGGATGAAAATTCACTGGGATTCCTCCCTTCAGATCAGATTCGGGAAATATGTAAAATGTGGGAAACTGTGCAATTGTTCGTAGCAAGAATAATTGCCCGAGTTTCAATTATTAAAAATAAGAAATTAGTTTCGCACTACGAGCGTTTTGGAGTACGAGCATGGCTCTGGAACGGATTATGCTCGCAAACCGAGAGTCCACTGTACTATATTACAAAAAAAAAAAATTATAATTACAAGATTTGAAAAGATAAGAAAGAGGACATTATAATCATTCTTGATTTTACATCACAACCAACAAAATAAACAAACCAAAAAGAAAAATATACAAATAGGTAATAATTAAGGTTTT